AGACAAACACAAGGCGAGTTTTCAGGAGAGGTCACGAGCATATATGCAGTCATTTTTGAGTTATTTCCATCCTAGATGGGTGATTCACTCCGGCATGCCCTTCACCCGTTGTAGAGCCTTGGTTTGTACAGGCTGAGAAACTAAGGTCTTTGGGCCCAGTGGGTTTTTCTGACTCATCGATGTCACATTTCCTTTGAAGATTTCGTTCTTTACCCTTTGAATGATTTTCTATGTTTAAGAGAACAGATCGATGTCAAGATTCTCATGACTGGTATCATCTTCGGATCGCATATATTTATGGTAACACTATTTGGAAGTTTTGAGGTCGGCAAATAAATCTACTTTTCTTCCTCTGAATGGTTTACTTTTTCATTTTTTAAAAAGTCGGAAATATGTTAACCCTAATACTTCTCAGTATTTCTGTTCATAACAATTCATCTGAATTAGTTGCTCCGTCACAGTGTTGTACTCCAGTGGAAATCAATTCACATGAGCAGTTCTGGGATTTTATTGTTTATTCTGCTGATTCCCCGTATTAAAATAATAAATTAAAAAATCCATGTGCAGATTTGGAATACCGTGTCAATTGTCTTAGGAGACAGTTTGGGAAATCATGGCTATATCAGGTACTTATTTTCTTCCTGCCCTTGTGTGGGAAATTTGAAGAAGCGAGGGGGTGATTTGGATACTTTGTTAGCAATTGAGAGGGGATAAAACCACACCGGAAGGAATCTTTACATGGACTCCCTTCCTCAGCCAGAGGGGGGAGCTCTCTTCCCTTCTTCTGGTTGCAGTAAGCACTTTTAAGCCCAACCATCCACACAAAAATAGAAAGAACATCTTCCATCAGCCTTCATGATGCTGGGCCAGATTCCTCCCTGCCCCGCCCTGTCTTTCTTACCTGTCTCTTCTGACCCTGAGTGCTCACCGGCTTACCTTGTGTGGTCTGACCCTGAGCAATCACCAAGCAGCTGCCTTAGTTGCTGTTTTGGGGTTTTTTTTTGTTTGCTTATTTGTTTTTTGAGACAGTCTCACTTTATCACACTCAGTAGAGTGCTGTAGCGTCATAGCTCACAGCAACCTCAAACTCTTGGGCTCAAGCGATCCTCTTGCCTCAGACTCCCAAGTAGTTGGGACTACAGATACTGGCCACAAGGCCCAGCAATTTTAGAGATGTGGTCTCCATCTTGCTCAGGCTAATCTTAAACTCCTGAGCTCAAGCAATCTACCTGCCTTGGGTTCCCAGAGTGCTGAGATTACAGGTGTGAGCCACCACGTCTGGCCCTCAGCTACCCTAGTTTTAAACACACTGGTCCCTGTCCTGTCTGTCTATACTGCTGATTCTTTGGGGGTGTGTCTACTGCTACAGAATGTGCTTGCCTTGTGGTTTCTAGACCTTGCTTGTTTTAACTAAAGTCTCCTCCTTCCAGTTCTGCACTCTCCTGCAAAGACACAACCTCCACTGGAAGCCAGATAGGATCCTTGGGGAAAGTAATACATTTCATAGCAATTCAAGCGTCCCTCCTCCAAAACAAAACATGCAAAACTTAAAACTTGAAACAGCTATTGAAGTTACTTGGAATACTTTTTGTGTTTTATAAGAGGAAGACCTCCGCAGGAGGACAAAGAAAGAATTATTATGGGGAGCAGGAAGTTCAGATGGAACTGACCCAACTGAGTGAGGGTCAGTGAGGACCCTCAGTGAGGGTGATAAGATTGGGTAGAGGGGGGATCATTCTTCCTTCTTAAAATTGGGAGAGGGGAAAGATATGATGACAAAAATTAAGCAAGACAATCTTGTTATGTCATATTCCTAAATGATGAATCCAAGATAACTGTTGAGGACAGTTTGGGAAGATTAAGCGCTAGCTTTGCAGGGTGTATATTTGGAGGATAGACACCAACTCCCCCAAACTGGCTATATAGCTTCATCCCTTATCAGTGCTCAGAGGCAATGCTATACTTGCTGCTAAATGTTGTTGATACCAACCCTGGCATATAGAGCAGCTCTTGAAACATGCCAGGCGCTGGATACTAATTATGCCTAATATGATCATTGTCACATCACTTTAAAGGATTGAGATATTTTTAAAACTATTTCAGTCATTTTTAAGAAGGCGGTATCAGTATTACAAAGGTCTTTCTTATATATATTCTATAAACAGATGGAGAAATGCTGATTAGCTAAAGCTATTAAAAATGAAAATGTAGGCTCAGCGCCTGTAGCTCAGTGGCTAGGGCGCCAGCCACATACACCAGGGCTGGTGGGTTTGAACCTGACCCAGGCCTGCCAAACAACAATAACAATTACAACAACAACAACAACAAAAAGAGCCAGGCATTATGGCAGGTGCATGTAGTCCCAGCTATTTCAGAGGCTAAGACAAGAGAATCACTTAAGCCCAAAAGTTTGAGGTTGCTGTGAGCTATGATACCATAGCACTCTACAAAGCGTGACATAGTAAGACTATGTCTCAAAAAAAAAACAATGAAAATGTGTTACTGCTAAAGTTTGAGTTTGGAGTCACCTTAAAAAAGGGTGAACTGCCCCGGACCTGCCAATCAACAATGACGGCTGCAACCAAAAAATAGCCGGGCGTTGTGGCAGGCGCCTGTGGTCCCAGCTACTTGGGAGGCTGAGGCAGGAGACTCGCTTGAGC